AAAAAGCCAAAATGAATAAATAAAAGCCCTACTTTAGGGTGCTGAGAGTATCTCAGTATGTTTCCAATAAATTCCCTTTCTGCTTCAGAGCTTATGAATCTTTTTTGCGGGGGCGGGTATCAGGGACTGAACTCGGGACCTTGCATTTGTGATGCAGGCAAAGGAACCACTGAGCTAAATCCCCAACCCCAGAGCTGAAGAATGTTAGTGACAAATACCTTCATGTACAGTGCCTTGCACACATCAGGGGAGTACAGAAAAGGAATGTTTATTTGATTCAGTCAATATACTTAAGTGGTTTTTGGCCTGCAGTGATAAGGAACATCTAAGAAACATCTTTAGCATGTTAGCTACTCCTGTCCTTTATCCCCTTCTCACTTCATTGTTACTTTCACAAGTCAGTGGAGAGAGAGAGAGGACTGACAATGGACAATGAAGCAAGCTGGGGTGGAGGTGGAGCATCTCTGGGGCCCAGCGAGCTTCCCAGAACAGCGGCCTGTGACCTCACAATCACACTTTTGCAGGTACAACAGAGAGCTATGCTCCCAGCCAGGCTCTGTCCAACTTTAACAAACACTACTGTTCTCTAAAAGGAAAATGGTGCGTTGGGGGAGAATTCCTGCCAATTACAACCTCCTCTCTCTCAGGTGCACTGGTATACCTGGATGATGAATTCTGAGATGTCTTTAATAGTGTGGGAGCTACCTTTATATAAAAGCAATTAGTTAACAATATAAGATTTCCTAACTAATCCAACAGTAAGTGTGGTACTGTTCCCTGACTCCAGAGATAAAAACAAATTCATTTCAGCTGTCATTCATTAGATACAAAGGAAATGCTTAAAGCATATAATTAATTCAGAAAAACAATTGTAGCAGGGCTCAACAATAAGAGACTATTTTCAAGTGGAAGCATTTTGAGGATGTGAGTGAGGACGTAAGTATATGGAACATACTCAAGCATGGGTGAAACTGTTTTGTGTGAAAGAGGGGGAAAAGAAAATAAAAGGTACATTAAGAGTTCAGAATGCCTTCAAAGTAATGGAAAGGCAAACAACTCCACTAGCACTATGACTTTTACTAGGTATATTTATTACAATATTTAGTATGTATATCACAATCTTTAACATGTCACAAATGAAGTTATCTTGTTAACTGAAAAATGCTGTATTTAAATAACAAATCAATGAGGATTGTATCTTCCCAGTTGATTCGTTATTAAATAAATTGATTTGGCCAGGTGTGGTGCAACAAGCCTATAATCCCAGCATTCTGAGAGGCCTGAGGCAGGAAGATCTCTAGTTCAAGCTCAGCCAGGGCAATTTTGTAACTCAGAGATCCTATTTCAAAATAAAACTAACTAAATAAATGAATACGGCTGGGGATGTAGCTCAGTGCGTCAGTGCAGAGGCCCTGTAGCAATCCTCAGTACCACCACCACCACCAAAAAAAAATATATATCATTTAACAGCACAGAGAAACATACCAAAGAAAACTGCACAACTTGGAAAGAAATCAGAGGAAGTGACTTTTTCATCACCAAAAGAATACCTAGATTGTCTGAGACAGTCACCTTGCAACTTGTGCCCAATTGCTGTGTTCAACCACAACCCCGATTTAGCCCTAACTGCTGACACCCACTGATTGAGAAGTACCATTTATTTCCATGACTGACACTTCATCACCCGGATATGATACCAGGGATTACTTAAAGCAACCCGGGACTGTTCCCTATAGCTCAACATTTCTGGGCTTGGGGAGACAGGATAAATATCCTGTAATACCCATTCCAAAGAATCTGAACAAAATGAGCCTAATAGTACAGTAAACTCATTTCCACAACAAAATTTTTGTCATTTTACACTATCATGCATTATAACCAAGTAACTTAAGATGACAACTCTATCCCGGAGCGTGACTAGAAATAATCAGTACCCAGGCTGGAAAACTTACACACAAAATCCACTGTGTAATTTTTATTTGTACCTCTTGTACAGAGAAATAAGTCAAGTGTCATGACTGGAGTTTGTAGATAAAGGCATACAAAGGAGAGAAAAACTTAAAAGACAATTATTAGAATTATAACGATTGTGGTTGTCTAAGATATTCAGTACCTGACACCCTATTAATCTGTTTTTGTTTATTCCTGAACAATAATATAGTTTGGTTTTTGTTTTGTTTTTTAAAGGACTGATTATCTTCCTGCAATTTCTCTGAAATGTAAACAGAAAACAGAGCTTCAATACACCTGACTGGTAATCAGTCTTTTGGCTGTAATACCTGTTTTTAATTGAGGTAAAGTTTACATTAGCATCACACAACACATGCTTTAAATGTACAATTCAAAGAAATATGATAAATATATTCATTCCTGCAATCTTCACTGCCTCCATCACCCTAGAAAGTCTTTGTGTTCTTCTAAACAATTTCCCAGTACCCAAGGCAAGTAGTTTCCAGTTCTACAGCGGGAGTCAGTCTCTTTCCCTACACATGTTCTTAAGATTCACTCCCAATACATGTAGTATCTGTACTTCATGTTTAAAATAGCAGAGTAGCATTCCATTGTATGCGTCTGCCATGATCTGCTTGTAAATCTCTTGCTGACAGGTATTTGGGGGTTTTCCTGTTGTGTGCTACTGTCAATAAAGAAGCTTGTAAACACAGAATCTTGTTCTGCTGTATAAATGTAATCATACTACCGTAAACTTACGACAGCTTTCTTCCTGTTTCAACCAAACAAAAAACTGAGGGATTGGAATTAATTAGCATCTACTTCTACAATCAGTGGGCAGAAGGAGCTTCAGCAACAGTACCCTGGCTGATTAGGTGAGAATCACCCCAACCTGCCCACATCTATGATGCATGACACTCCAAGGCCGTGTGTCCCGAAAACAGACTCTAGAACATTTCAAGCAGGTACTTAGGGGCTATGTTAGTCCGATTTCAGTTACTATCTAACTACCTGAGGGCTGGCACTTTATAAATAAAAGAGGTTTATTTGGTTCACAGCTTGGGAGGTCGAACGTCCAAGATCTGGTGACCCCATCCGTTCAACCTCTGAGAGGGTTCCCTTTGCTACCTCATTGCACAGCCAGGAGTGGAAAGGGGAAAGCTGCGTAGAGGGTACAGAGGGAAACAAGCATGTACTGTGCCCTCTTTGTAGCAGCCCACTCTCATGAGAACCAACTTCATGGAACCAACATTATGCATCTTTGGACACATTATTCACTCCCCTAAGTCCTAATTTCCCAGTAGGTTAAATTCCTAGTAGGATAAATATACCATCCATCCTAGGGTTATTTTGAAGATTAGATCATGTGTATAAAGTAGACATAGTACATAACATACTTAAGTACACAAATATTAGCTAATAACTATGTTTCCAAAACTATTTAGAGTATAGCCCCAGACTATGTCATTTTCCATATACAAATCAAGGTAAAGATCAGTCTTCCAAAGAGTGTGTTTCATAATAAATAAGTTTAATGGGTATTGTGTAAACAAAAGAATTCCATGAGCCAAGCCAAGTCTGAGTTTTTTTTTAAAGCAGTAAAAAACATCTATCTCAGTGCTTTATGGAAATGCACACTATATTCTCCCTCAAAGTGAGATCTAGTACACATTATTTCCAAAGTAATTTGACCATAAATTTATACTTGCCCTATCAAGAAGATCATGTGGCCCCGGAGCCCTAAGGAATACACTTCAAGAAATGCTAGTAAAAATAATGTGTGAGAGCCAGTGACAGGGTGGGGAGTGATGGGCACACCCAGATAGGCAGGAACAGAGGACCTCTGGGAGACACTGCTGGCATTTGCATACTTGAAATGTTACTTGATCAATGCCTAAACTATTATAAGTTCAATTAAGGCAGTTACTAATCTTTTACCTAACCACACACTCCCACCATCTTGCATGTTTGGTACCAGATACTAGATGTGGAATACAAGAATAAAAGAAATTTTTTTTGACACAGTGAAAAAACTAAATTGTTTATTAATATGAAAATCTCTATTAAATAAGTTCCTCTGCATTTACACATAGTAGACCCATTAAAAACAGTATCTGTTTTAACACTACCACTTTGCTGAATGAGAAGGAAAAAGTGTATTTTATTATAGACTGACTGAATTGTATATAGATACCTAGAACACACACATAAACCGTTAACAGTAACTACACCTGTGTAGGACTAGGAGTAGGAAATGACTTCGTTTTTGTGCTTTATATACTCCTCTATTGCTTCAAATATTTCTTGACAAGTATGCACTGCTTTTCTAACTGTTAGGCTTTAAGCAAATGCAGGTCTACGTAAGTTACATACTTTATGCTTTGTGTTTGGATCACTATTTCTTAGAAATATTTATGTAATGACCCCAATATCAATCCTGAAAGGAAAAGACAAGAAGTAATACTGTATTAATTTAGTATTGTAGATTAAAACTTACAGGCAACTTGTCTGATATACCAGAGCAAAATAAACAGAACTGATGCTAAAATATGGTTCTGTTCTCTGAGTTCAATGCTGGTTTCATTTATACATCACTGCCTCTCCAGGCTGCCTTCACAGAATCAACATTTTATTTTGTTTTGAGACAAGGTCTCGTTACACAGTCTAGGTTGGCCTTGAACTTAAGATGATCCTCCTGCCTCAGCCTCTCGAGTTCGGGGTTAACAGGCGTGCGCCACCACGCCCCGCGTAGAATCAACATTTTAGTACCAAATAACCATTGCAAATGCGTGATCCAGCTGGGATCAAACACTGTTTCCTCTCGTACTTTAATTCTGACCAGCGTCCTATCCACTCCATGCACGTAGTTAAGTGTGTTGACCATCAGATAAGACATATTTACGATACAACATGCCAAAGTCGGAGAAAGGGTGTGGGAATAACATTTTAGAGAGGGCTGCGGCCCACACTCGCCCGTCAACTCTTTGAACCTCGCCCCTCATCTAAATTTTCATTTCTTCCTGGAGTCAGTCTACGCCACAGGTTCCTACCTTGGTCTGAACACTCTTATCAAACTTGTCATTTTTGAAGCTAAACGTATTCTGGTGCTTCTGCGGCCTTGAGCGAGTCACGTTGCCTTTCTGGGAACTCATCACCAAAATCGCCACCAACTTGCACCAGGCGCGGTAAAAGAGTCGCAGAGAAGACGAAGAAGCTCACTCCGCGGGCGGAAGCGTAGGCTGGTGACCCGGAAGGAACTTACCCAGCCTTTCCGCTCCCCGTCAGCACACGTGACCCCCAGCGGAGGTCAAAGATCAACCCCCAGCCCTCAGCCTCCGGGTGCGGGATACCCCACGCGGCCCCAGGTGCAGCTGAGGCCCACCGCGCAGGCTCCTTTTCAAACCGAGGGACCCAATCCCGGTTGCTTCGAATTGAGAATTCCCCTATTGGCTCTAAAGTGGTAGTCCATCACGGCGGAGGGGCGGGAACCCTCTGCTGCGATTGGCTCTTCTTTTCCGCAATCCCCGCCTCCTGCCGAGCTTGCTCAGCTTCTCAACGAGCGCGGAGCGCTATGGACTCTGCTGGGTGGCTTGTGATTGGTGGAGGTTGGGCGGGGCTGGGCTCGGTCCTCCCCCCGCCCGCTTGCAGGCTGGAGCCCGGGTCAGCTTTGGCACCTTCCTTCAGTCAGTGGCCAACTCCGGGCGGCGAGCGCCCCGTACGCCCCCTCCACTCCCTGCTGGTTTCCCACCCGCTACCGGAGCGAGCCCGGCCCTCGGCGGGCAGAGGAGGAGCAGAGAGAGGGGGTTAAGGAGAAGAAAGACCTGGCTGGGACTGGGTGTTGTCTGCAGTGCCAGGAAACGAGGTGGCGGCTGCGGCGGCCGCAA